TCGCTTCAAATGTTCAGAGTTTATGACTCCTGTGGAAGATTTAATGAAATTTTATGTTGACCAAGCATCTTTAAAAATTCCCGGAATAAATTTCAACCTGGGAGAGATTGAAAAATTAAGGGGAAAAAGGACTAGGATTAAAGCATTTTACGAAAAGTGATGCTGTGTTGTTAGTTATTTATTTACTTTTTTTAATATTTTTTAAAAAAATAAAAGAAAATTCAAATAATTTTGTATCTCCCATGATATATCGACCCACGAGTACTAATGTGGCTATAATTAGAGATTGCAACTCTATTATGATCATAGTCCGGTGATATACAATAAGATTCAAATTTTGAAAGAATTAAATTAATAAAATCCCGGTGAAAAAAAAAAAACAGCTTCTAAAAGTATAGTTATCTTAAAATACGAACTTTAACACAAGTTTTTTGATCCAATAGAAAATTGAATTCTTTGAATAAATAAAATATTTTATGTATTAACATATTAAATTTCCTAATTATTTTTTCTTCTTGGGAAAATTTTTGAATTCGAATAGAAAATTCAATAAATTGAAATTGGGTTGAAAGAATTCTCCATATTAACTTGTCATATATTTCAGATCATATAAATTAAGTTAATTAAATTTTTTAAAAACCTTAATAGGATAAAAAAAAAGAATTTACACTCTCTCACTTTGAAAACGTAGAAAATGCCAATCTATTGGTATACATTTTAGTTTTGTTAAGTTTACAAAACGATTACTCTAGATTTTAAAGATTTATCAAGAATTTAGAGAATATCCTTCTCAAAACAACTTCAATAGCGAAGGATTAGTATTGAATCGGATTTGTAACATAATTATAGTACATTACAATACAATTTCTCCGACTTTTAAATATTTTTGAAATATTTACAAAATATGCTCTTTCTATCATCGATACTTTAATACAGAGCAAATTTAGTAAATGTCATCACGTTATTTTTTCATAAATCGTTTTCGAACTTTTGAAATATTTATTTTAAACCAGTTTTCTACATTTAATATGTGAATTATATCAAAAGTAGATGGGCGATACTTGTAAATCTATTTAAACTATTAGTTTGCTATTATTGAAGAACTTTATAATTTTTATTTCTTATGTATGGAATTAAAGATAATTTTGCCGATTCCAACTGGTTTTTCTATATGAGTTAAATATGCCAAGTGAAATTGGACTTGCCAATATTGTAAATTGAAGTATGGACTATATATCGATTTTCATTGATTGATGAATAACTCGGAGTAATGTAATTGTTGATAATGAAAAATAGTTTTCAATTGCTGGTAAGGGCCATTGTATGTTCAATAGCTCCGAAAGCAAGAAATGCACGTTTAGAAAAAAACGATAACGATTAAATTACAAAATCGATAACGACGACGATTAAGGATACCCTTACGTGTCAGATTTTTTGCGCATACGAAGAAGTCATGCTAGACATGAGCTATAAACCTGAAATTTTAGCAACATATTTAAAACTTTTTAAACTACACTTTAATATTCAAGAACAAAAATATTCTTTTTAGAAATTACATAATTATTTTATGTGAAATCTATATAAAAACATATTTTGCGAGCGTAACTTTTTTCTTTATAAGCACCTTATATGACTGATAAACTGTGAAGGCACACAATTGTTAATTCATAGAGTTGATATGTTTCCAAAATTGAGAGGAAATTTGAAAATTGAATACCCTTTCAATTCAATTTTCAAAAGATATCAGCTCCTTCAATAATTGAAGGACGATTTTGATCATTTGCTCTTAAAACAAGTATGCCATGGAGAAAAAAGTTACGCTCGCAAATCTGAAATATACTATCATATAAAAAATTAAATTTCTAATTTTTTACTCTATAGATATTATTGGCCACTTGTGTAATGCATAAAAGTTTATGTCATATGCATACATTTGGAAGTATGGGGAGACGGGAAATTACTTCTATGAGGCACTAGGATTTTTAAAAATTTCTCTATCGGACTCACCATTCAATTTCTCGAAAATTAAAAAAAAATCAATAATAGCTAAAATGTATTATGCATAACAAATTTTAATGTTACACGGTATTTTTTGAACTTCATGACATGAATTTTCTTTATATTATTTTTTTTTGGATTTTCTATGATTTATGCGATAGGCTGGAACAAACATTGTAAGTGCAATGATATCATTTATAGAGAAATCTAAAACTTCAGCATTCAGAACTCGCAACCACAAAAATATTCATTTGCTAAGTAAGTAAAGTTGATTAAGTTCGACACTTAGCTTTTATACGTAAAACCAAGTGTGTATTGTTATTTCTTGTTAAATTATTGAGAAAAAACTAAATTGTAAGAGAAACGATACTGATTATTGAAATAATATTGAGGGTAGCTGCAGATTTCTTCATTAACATGCCGGAAATTTGTTAATCTTGGTTTTCTATCATAAAATCTGTCGAAGAATCTAAAAACGGAGATATGAAATAGAGATCATGTAAATCTAGAGTATCCTGTCAGAAAAATAGACTAAGCATGTAACCCTTTTTTGGTCATAAACACTTTTTACCACTTAGTCATACAGATGATCATTAAATTTAAACGAGCACTTTTTGTCAGAATTTATTCTTTTACAAAGACAGAAGATTTTTAGTATTATTTAATATTAGTGCTGTAGCAAAATTCAAAAAACGGTGAAAATTCAGTGAATTTGTGAATTCACATTTTTTTTCGACATTTTTCTTGATATATCCATGCACATTAAGAACACAGCTTTGATACGCTTAAAAAAGCATATTTCATATGAAATTGTTAAAGAAATAAACAATTTATATAAAAATTGCACTTATGGGCAGTTTAGATATATAATTTATATATAACATATATACAAATCCATAGACAAAGTGCAATAACTACAATGTTGTAGAAAATTACAGCAGAAATACTGACTTTTTGAAGGATAATAAGAATTCTTCTAAATGTTGTATTTTTATAATTTGATTGATTTTTTTTACTATTTCATTAATCTTTTATGAATAATAATTATTTTTAATATATGTGCTATTAAAATTTCAAATTTTGACTAATATATCTAAGTTATCTGAACGAAACATTTAGAAAATATCATACTTACATTGAAATAGCAAGTAGAGCATATTAATAGCAAGTTTCTTGGCTTTATATCTATCATCTATTGTTGTTTGATCAAACAAAATTCACTCTATTATATGGTGTCAATTAATTAAAACAATTTTTAATAGTTATTTATTTAGTGCGAATAAGTGCAAACTCATAAATGAATAACTTAATAGTAGAAATGAATTATCTGATATAAATCTCACATTTTGTCCATCAGAAATACTTTAATTGCATACGCATAACTATTAGTAATACGTCTGGAGTGTCAATTAATAACAATCCCACAACAAGTAAAATTCAGATTTTTATTAAACTTATTTTTTCCTAAAACTTTTCTCAAATTACTATATATACATATGTGGATAAAATAATAGTAATATTGTAAAAAATTAGATAATTTTTTTTATTTGAGAACCTCTCAAAAGTTCATTCAATTTATCAATTGTTTCAGTTTGATGTATATTCATTTCTGGAGCCTAAAACTTTAGCAATCATGACAATATCATATTCTCTTTCTAACTACGCAATGTAAGGGTATCCTTAAATTACAAAATCAATAATGACCCATTAGAAACAGTAAGATCATTTGAATTTAAAAAAACAAGACTCCATTCACTAGACACAGTTGCTGAGTTTTCTATAAAGACTGAATTTGAAATATTTGAATTTGGCGTTTGATAGTGATACATGCAAATTCCATTTGATAATGCCTTATTTCCACAAAAATAACAGCTTTTAATAATCACAATTCCGTTCTTAAGAGTATATCCAGTATATTGATCTGTTGAGCAATTTGAAATATTAGATGATGTGATTTTTTCAGTACCATATAAATGAAAAATGCTTCCTGAACCAGAACCCTGTCCACATGCAAATAAAGTACTTTCAATAATATAGCTTTTTTGTTCAACTGAACTTACAGAAATATAAGAGTGTTCACCATTACTTGATGAATAACTATTAATTGAACAAAATCTGTCTTGAACAATGGAGCTGCTGCATGAAAAGTGAATAATACCTCCATCTTGAGAATTAGAATTTTGAATAAAAGTGCATAATGAGTGTAATAGATTAATATTAGAAGTTGAGCAATATATAACTCCAGATGTTAATCCTTGAAAATTAGATGAGAGCAGAAAATAATTTGAATAAACAGTAAATGATGTATTATCTGATATTGTATGAGACTCTTGATTTGTGTTTGGATAATACAGTTTCCAAATATCAATATCATTCATTTTCAACGAGAATAGCTTTACAAACATTGATTTTAATATTTTCAATGCTTTTCAATTGAGTTTAAAATTAAAATTAGAAAATAAACAAATAATGTTTAATTTAATATAATAATTGATTATTTGAAAATTGAATATTCACACACAATTTCAATCATAAAGGCTCAATATTTTTGAGAGATAAATTTATAATTATTACTGGAGATCAATATATATATATACACCTAAATTTTCTATTTCAATGTGCAAAAGTTGATTTGAATCTTAAATTTTGAGAGTACAGCCTTCTTTAAAATTCATTAATTTGGCCATTTTTCGCTGGGTATAACGTTTCCATATTGGGAGGGTTTAACTTATCTAAAGCGTTCATATTGGGTTATGAGTGAATTTGTATATGCAATCGCATTCATTTGTGAGAGCTGGTTTTTTACGTTAATTTTTTTTGCCATTTTGTCAAAAATAATGTGACCGATAATAAAAATTGAACCCGTCAGCAATTGTCGAACCCGAAAAATTATGGAAACGTTAATTCCAGGCGCTATATTGTTTATTTTATTGGAAATCATGTGTAATACATATCCAAATATTTTTCAATCAGAAATATTTACGATCATTTTTTGTAAATTTATGTCGGAGCAACCAGAAGTTGAGAAAACCACCGAACAAAACCAGGAGATTATAGGAAAGGACGGCAAACCAGTTAAATACCTTCGTGGAAAGAAGGAAAAGAAACCAAAAGTTCAAACTGAAAAACCACCTGAGCCAGATCCAGCAGTTTATATTGATGCTCGCGTCGGTAAAATCATTCATGTCGAACCAGTTGAAGATTCTGAGTTCCTTTACAAAGAAGACGTCGATGTTGGAAATGGAATTACAAAACACATCGTTACAAGTGTCAGAAAGTACTACACAGTTGAGCAATTACAAGACAGAAGAGTTTGCGTCTTCACAAACATGCATCCAGCTAAGATGCGTGGTGAAACATCTGAAGCAATGTTATTTGGCGCAAGTACACCAGATCCGGATATCTGCGAACTTTTAGATCCACCAGCTGACTCCCCAATTGGTGCTAGAATCTTCTTCGGACATTTCACTGAAGGCGAAGTTACCGGCCAAGACCGTCGCAATACACATTGGAAGAAAATGGTCGAACATTTAGGTATCAATGATCAAGGAGTTGCATGCTACAAGGGCGAGCCACTTCATACAGCTGAAGGAAATCTTACTGTTCCAAATCTCAGAAACTGCGAGTTCCATTAAAGGAAATATTATCTGAGTATTTTATTTACATTACAAACTAATAAAATTTTGCGTTGAAATTTAATTTTTTACAAATTATTTTTATTTATGAATGAAATGACTTTGTTCATTAACATTTTAAAGTTTTGCTTATAAATAAACAGATTCTTTATAGTAATATTACATAATTTTTGTAATTTCTCATCGGATTTCTGAAATTTATGCAAAAAATCGTTGGCATCAATACATTTGCTTTTAAAACTATGTTTGAACAATTGGTCTTCTTAAAAGAGAGAAGGAGGATAATCTGTTGTATTTGTAAACACTTTTTGAATATATTGAATGGAAAACTCGTAAAATTTTTACAAACAATATAGTAGGAATATGATGTTGAATACATTTCGAGGTGAAATTTAATTTGAATAATCACATTGAAATATCAACCATTTTATTAAAATCACGTAGGTATCATCATTGTTATCATATAATAAAAATGTTTGATTTTATCAGTAATGAAAACGATCGAAAATTCTAAAGGTAGTTCAAATTGAGAGTCTATTCAAAATTTGACAGTAATAATGGCCAAAATTTATGGAAAACATTAGATATTTAATATTGTAACATTATATATAATCATTTTCAAGTAAAATTTTCATAATTCACTTGGATTAACTGTAATGTTTTTGATTTTACTCACTCTTGGTCTGGGATTTACATTTGTTGTTCAAAGAACAACACTATATATCACTGGGTCATGAACCTTATCAAGTTCAGAAGTTATGGCGAACTGTGATTATCAAACAATTACTGACATTTATGTTGGCGAAGGATGTTCAGCATTCACAAGTGGCGTATTTTACAATTTTGTTAATCTTAGAAATCTTTACCTAACTTCGACTCTCCAAACAACTACGGGTGGAGATACAAGATATTGTTGGAACTTTGCAAACATTTATTTACCATCTGAAAGCCAATATCTTGAATTAGATCAATATGGTGCATTATATACCAAAGGTAAAGAAAGATTAATCAGGTTACCACCAAGAAAACCAAGCTACACTTTTCCATCGCAAACAAAGATAATTGGAGAACAAGCATTTCAAGGATGTGGAGTATTACCATCATTAACTATACCCAAAACAATTGAAACTCTAAATTCCGGATTTCTTTATGATTCAGGTGGAATTAAGAGTGTTTACTTCGAAAGCGGCTCTCCAATTACCACAATTACTTATTTTTCATATGCATCAGGCATGACATACATATTATTAGCAAAAACCGTTACTACTATCGCTGCATCAGCATTTGATCACGCAATTCATCTAAAAACCGTCAATTTTGAGAGTGGTTCTAACTTACAAACAGTTAATGCAGGTGCATTTGCCTATACAGTTATAGAAAGATTCACTTTTCCACCAAAATGCACAACAATTTTAAATTCTATTTTTAATCCATGCACAACATTAAATTACGTATATATTCCAGCATCATTAGTTAATATTAATACTCAAGCATTTGCAGGAGCTCCAAATATTCAAACTATTCAAATTGATTCTAATAATGCGAAGTTTACTGTTCAAGATTCTGCGACATTGATGTTAAAAGATAAGACAAAGTATTTATATATTCCTCCTTCAATCAAATCATTCACTATTGGAAAAGAAGTTGTTGAATTTGGTTTAACAATTTTCCAAACATGTTCTCAATTGACATCAATTACTGTTGATGCAAACAACAACAATTTTGTTGCGTTGAACGGAATAATTTATACAAAAGGATATTTAAAAGCTATTGCTTGCATTGGAGGAATGACATCAGCAACAACAAGATCAGAATGCCAACAAATTGGAGATTATTGTTTTTATAATTGCAAATTATTGACATCAATTACATTGAATGAAGGAATTAAATCTCTTGGACAAGAATCATTTGAATACGTAAATGTTAACACATTAAATATCCCATCATCTGTTGAATCAATCGGATATTTATGTTTTTGGTATGCTACAATAAATACAGTCAAAACAAATGGAAATGGACCAAAAACAATTAGTTCCAAAGCATTTATGAATTGCCATATTAACTCTGTTAACTTTGGATTGAATTTAAATTCTATGGGTGATCAAGCTTTTTCTACTTCACAAATTGTTTCTGTTACATTTAATGATAATTGTCCAATGAATAGAATCTATTTCCAATCATTTATTAATTGCCCTTCATTTAAATCTGTCAGAATTCCAAAGAATGTTTTGCACATTGAAGACAGAGCTTTTGATCATTGTACATCATTAACTGATGTAACATTTGCTACAGGATCCCAACTGAATTATTTAGAAACAATGTGTTTTAGAGCAACAAAAGTTAAATCAATTTCTTTTCCAACAACATTGAATTATTTAGGTGCAAATGCATTCAGTGAATGTCCATTATTAAGTTCAGTGACATTTGCACCTGGAACAAATCTGCCAACACTAGCTGGTGGTGTGTTTAGATCTTGTACATCGTTACCAACTGTAACAATTCCTTCTACTGTAACGAACTTCGATCCATCAACATTCGTTTTCTGTTCTAATCTCTTGTATATCAATGTTCCAACAGATAATGTTAATTATTGTAGTAATGATGGTGTTGTTTATACAAAGAATCAAGAAAAGTTAGTTTGTTGTCCAGGAGGTAAAGTTAGTGCATTGATCTTCAAATACATCATTATCATTGGATCAAATGCATTCTATGGCTGTTCTAAACTGCAAACATTAACATTTGAGAAAGGATGTCAATTACGAGAAATCCAAGATGGAACATTCTATTCATGCACAGTATTGTTGAGAGTTGATCTTCCAACATCACTTCAAACAGTTCAACAGAATGCATTTGCAGGATGCACATTATTATCAGTGATCACATTCACCGATTATGCACTTGCCGATTTAGGTGCAGACTCAATCTTTGCCGACTGTGTTAGTTTGACAACTATCACATTTGGACGATTCTGTGCACTCCAACATCTTCAGGAACTGTGTTAAACTGAACACGATCAATATTCCGGCGAACTGCACATCAATTGGTGCAGGTGCATTCAGTGGATATCAATCATTATCAAACTTAGTATTTGAATCTAATTCACGATTGACATCACTTAGTTCAACAGCATTTATTGGATGCACATCATTAACTACATACAATGTTCCAGACTCATTTCGAGAAATCAGCAATAACTGTTTTGGTGGTGCACCATCAATTTCAACAGTTAATATTGCAAGTAATCTTGCAATTAGTAAGATCGTATCAAATGCATTTTCATCTATTCCGATGACATCAATCAACTTCGGAACAGGAACAACAGTTTTACTGATTGATGATTCTGCATTTCTCAACTCAAGAATTTCATCATTCAATGTGAACTCACCAATGACAATCTCAAACAATGCATTCAAAGGATGCACAAACTTAAACAGTATCAATGTCAATGGTGCAACATCAATTGGTAACAACGTATTTGAAGGATGTACAAATCTTCAATCATTTTCACTTAATACAAATGTTCGCTTATCATCATTTGTATTCAAAGGATGCACAAAACTCAAAAGTGTTAATCTTCCAAATATGATCTCTTCATCTATTCCATCTTATTATATGTCTAAGAGAATGACAAAAGCGACAAGTTACACATCAATCCCAGTTGGTTTGTTCGATGGATGTTCTTCTCTAAGTTCATTGAATATAAACAACAACATTGTCAACATTTCAGATTATGCATTCAGAGATTGTGTTAGTCTCTCATATATCATTCCATACACAGTATCTTACATAGGAGATGAATCATTCAAGAACTGTCATCTTATCAGAGATATTCCTAAGAATGTTGTATATTTTGGTAACTACTCATTCTATGGAACGAACATTGGAAAGTCAATTTTGATCAATAGAGATACTAAATATATTGGTGCATCATCATTCATAAACACTCCTCTTCGTGTTGTTTATTATTGTGGAGAACGAGATTTCAGTAAATTTTCTCCATCATTCAACACGGACACTAATGTTGTTGTCACATTCTCATACAACTATCCAACATTCTGTGGAACACAAGCGATTTATCTTCCATCAAACACATGCAAAGACATCATGCGAACAAACAACGATGGCTTTGACCACTTGAAGAAACAGGTCAAAGAGAAGATGAAATCTAATTCTGCCTTACTTGTTCTCTCCATGAACTCACTCGGTTTGTTTTAATTATTTTTGTTTTTATAATAAATTTTTTATCATGATTATTTATAATTATCTAATTCTCTTGAATTCAATATACCATTTTCAATTTTTAAGAATTGAAATTCAAAAAGTGCATGAAAACTGCTATTTTTTGATACTCTTTAATTTGCTTGTTTATTTAAATTGAGATAAAAATTATCTAAAGAGAGCAAAACCCATCATAATGACAATCTCTTCAATCAATGTCAAATGAGAAAAACTCAAATTAGTTAAACAAACAAATATTACATTAATCAATGTGCACACATTCGATAGGTAGCTGATATTGAAATCGAGCCAATCATATACTCTTAAAATTTTTATGAAAGAAAAGTGTCAAAATGTTTTAATTTTATAAGCTGTCATTAATTTAATTCTATTTTCATTATTCTTATTAGATAAATATGGTGTATATTTCAGAGATGATGGTGCACTCACTAGCGTTCCTTCTGATCTCAAAGGTGATTATGTTTTTCCATCTTATTGCACAAGCATCAAAGGAGGTTCATCAGAAGATAAAACTCCATTCTATTATTGCCGTGATAAGATTACATCCATCAATTTTGAGCCAGGAAGTCAAATTTCATCCATCTGCATTTATTGTTTTTACAATTCTAGTCTTATAACAGCTGATTTTAGGAACTGTCCAAATCTACTTATTTTGAACTATGCATCCTTTGCATATTGCAAAAAATTGTCAACTTTTCATATGCCACCTAATTGTCAAAAAATTTCTGCTGGCTGTTTCAGATATACAACTTCACTGACAAGACTTGATATACCAGACACTTTGAAAACAATAGAATATCAGGTTAATCCATATTATCGTGCTTTCGATCATAGTGCAATTAGCCGATTTGTTCTAAGTCCAACATCCAATTTGGAAAATATTGGTGGAGATTCATTTGCAGATTCAAAATTGACTTCAATATATATTCCAAAGAAAACAATATTCTACGCAGCATCTTTCCAAAATTGTCCAATTGAAGAGATAGTAATTCATCCAGAAAATCCATATTATAAAACTAAAGATTTAGTAGTTTTTTCAGATAACAATTCTACAATATACTTTGTCAGTCCATTTAAAACAGGAGAATATACTGTTCCTTCTTATGTCACAAAAATTGGTCAATCCGCCTTCAGAACATGTTCACTTTCAAAAGTTACCATAGGTAATCAAGTAACAAATATTGAGACATGGTGTTTTGCACAAAGTAAAATCCGAGAAATTATATTACCAAGTAATATGTTATCGATTCCAGAAGCAATGTTTGCTTTCTGTGGAACAATTAGTACAATTCAAATTCCAGATTCTGTAACCAAAATAGGGCTTTGGGCATTTTATTATTGTGATCGACTAAACAAAATTGATTTACCAAAAAATTTGATAACGCTTGGAGATGAAGTATTTAGAGGCTGTCATAAGCTAAAGAATTTAACTCTGTCTGCAAAATTGAAGGAAATTGGAGTTGGTTTGTTTACCGATGTTGGAAATATCAATATAATATCATTAAATCCAGAAATATTTATCGATGGGTTTATTATGTATAAAGATAGCAATCAAACATTGTTTTCATATTATGGTGTCACAGAAAATGCAGATTTAACAATAATCAATAAATGCAATTTCATCGGTAAAGGTATTTTTACAGGTAAAAATTTAAGAAATATATATTTTGACAACAATGAAAATATTTCTCTTGATAGTTATGTGTTTGATTCATCAACAATTAAAACCATTTCTTTTCCTTCAGGGCTTAAAAGTTTAGGAATTGGAACATTTCAATATTGTTCGAAATTGTCAACTGTTTCTTTCCAAGGAACAATGATTTCATCCATACCAGAGAAATGTTTTTATCAATGCAGCAGTCTTAAGTCCATAACTCTTCCAACATCAATCACAACGATTGGTAAGTCTGCATTTGAAGGATGTGAAAATATTGGAGATATTGGGATATCAAAATTGGAAAATCTTCAAACAATATCAGATTCAGCATTTCTTAAAAGTGGATTGACTACAGCAAATCTTGCAAATTCAGTAACTTTGGTTGGAAGTCGAGCATTTCTTCAGTCACGAATTGCTAACTTAACTATTAACTGTAATATCCAAAATGATCTTTGTCGCTCATGCACAAATCTTAAAACACTGACAATGAATGATGGTGTTACTGAGATTGGTCCATATGCATTTTCAGGCTGCTCAGAACTTACAGGATTTATAATTCCTCAGAATTTGCGAAGAATTCTTGATTTTGCATTTGAATCATGTTCCAGTTTATCTTCTGTTCGCATGGTGATGTATTGCACACTTGAATCAGTTGAAGGTGGATGCTTTTATGGATGCATTAACCTCAAAAAGATCGAACTTTCAACTTATGACCGTTCTTATTTGTTCCAAAATAGTGCTTTAACATTCTATAATCAATCTAAGCTCATTATTTTTCTTCCTTATAGTGGAATAATAAATTTTGTTGCTCCCATGGATATGAAAGAGATTGGCCGATGTGCATTCATGGGAAGTCCAAGTCTTCAACGAGTTTTCTTCAATGGAAACAAGATCGAAACTATAGGTTACCAAGCATTTCGTGATTGCAGAAATTTGAACTTAATCTTCTTTGCTTCATCTAATTCTATCACTATCGGAAACAATGCCTTCATTGGCTGCCCAATGCTTAGAAAATGCGGAGCATTTTCTATTCCAGAAAGCCTCCAACCAAAATTTATTGAACAAGATATCCCCAAAATTGCATTTTCAAACGATTGTCCTTCTCTTAATTCATGTCAAGCTATCAGGTGTTCACCAATTTCTATATTCTCAATAACACCTTTCATTACAATGTTAATTTCATAAAAATTTGCTTTTACTTTTTAATTTTATATATTAATCTTATATTTCTATTTAACTTATGAGAAAAATGTTAAAGAGATTCAATAAAAATTGAATATTAAAATAAATAAATTGGTTACATGAAAAAAATATCAGGAAATGATGTAATTCGAATGGCACCATCTCCAATGTGACCTTCTTCAATTTCATCTTCTGGACTGAAGAATTGTTGGTTACCATTGAACATCTTACTATATCAAAAAAGACAATTCCTGAATAATGATTAGGACTATTTGTATGAATTCCATTTTCATCAACTGAATTACATCCTTTATATCCACTGATATAACTTGATCCACTTGATGAGACAGATTGATATAAAACACTATAATAGAGGTCAGGATTTAATTTACCAGTTTTACCACCATAATAACCTCCTCCAGCACCTGATGTAGGAATCACGTTTGTATTAATACCTGTTTCGCCAAGTCCCAGTGAATAACCATGGGTTTGATTTGTGTCAGATTTTTCAAAAATTTTAGATTCTCCAGTTTTAGGTACATATCCAGTCAAATCACCACCTGGAGCACCATATGTGTTCCATGAAGATCCTGAACCACCAGCTGCAACAATAATGTGACTATAGAGAGATTTGTTAGAAGTGCCATTAATTAAGCGAATATCGGTGGCACCACCGCCACCACCTGGTGGATCATCATCACGCAGCTCATATCCACCATCACTTCCTCCGTTGAAACCGCCTTTACCGTTGTATTTTGTTGAACATTGAGTTGGTTCACCACCTTTACCACCTAGAAATAAATATAATCGCTGAGGATAACGAAATTGTACCTTGCCTACAACAAATGCCTCTCCTCCATAAATTGTGTGAGCTTTTTTTGATCTGTGCATCCTTGACCACCTTGTGCTCCCCATAGTTCAAATATATAGGAACCTCTTGCTAAATTGAGTTCTACAACAGGTTTTTGATCATCATATTTATAAAACATTTTCTACTCATTTATCTGATCTTCTTACATTTAAATATTTTAACTCGTCTAGTACATATATTATGCAAAATATCTAAAATTCAAGTCAGATTGAAAAGTATTCATGCATACTTATATCGAACAAATTGTTCACTATTGGAAAATAAGTCGTTGAATTTAGTTTAGCAATTTTACAATCTTATTCTCAATTTACAACAATTACGGTTGTTGCAAACAATATCATTAAATATAGTTATCCTACGAGATTAACAAAAGTTGAGTCATCAACAACAAGACCAGAATGTTTCCTCCCTCACAGCATCCCTCAGATTCGATGGTGTTCTCAACGTCGATTTCACAGAGTTCCAGACAAACCTTGTCCCATACGCTCGTATCCACTTCCCAATCTGCTCATATTCACACATCATTTCTGCAGAGAAGGCATACCACCGGCAGCTCTCTGTTGCCGAAATCACGAACTCACTCTTCGAGCCAGCAAACATGATGGTTAATTGCGACCCACGCCACGGCAACTACATGGCTTACACACTCCTTTACCGTGGTGATGTCGTTCCAAAGAATGTCTCTGCTGCTGTCGCTACAATCAAGACAAAGCGCACAATCCAGTTCGTCGACTGGTGCCCAACAGGCTTCAAGATGGGTATCAACTACCAGCCACCAACGATCACCCAAGGTGGCGACCTCGTAAAGGTACTGCAAGCTGCCTGCATGCTCGCTAACACAACAGCCATCGCCGAAGCTTGGTCTCGCCTCGACCACAAGTTCGACCTCATGTACGCCAAATGTGCCTTTGTCCTCTGGTACGTCGGTGAAGATATGGAAGGAGCTGAATTCCCAGAAGCTCGTGAAGATCTTGACCTCCTCTAGAAGGACTACAACAAAGTTGCTGCTGAATCAGTCGAGGGTGGCGATGTGGAAGAAGATGGTAGCGAAATGTAAGAACAATAAACACACCTAAAGTTTTTTTTAAGGGTGCACACGAGAGGATCATGTAAACTTCAGAATTTAGAACCTTATTTTTAGGCATTATCTTGGCTACCTATTTAGGCTCGAAAAGCAAAAAAATATCAAAAAATACAACTTGACTCCATTATGACCCTTTCATGGAGGTAGTTTTTATCCGCTAGTATTTTCCCTTTGAATCTCTTTACAATTCGAAATCAAATTCAAATCTCAGTAGAAGAAAGGAAGAATCGACTTACTACGGTTGTAATACGAATAAATACATATATTTAATTATTTTTATTTACATAATAATTGTTTGAAGCTCATATTCCATCAAATTTTTAAATAAAAACATTAAAATGTTGAAAATGTTCATATATTTTAATAGGGTTTTGGCACTTTATTGAGGAATTACTACATACATAGTCGAACTGAACTTGATATTTTGAAATTTAAATTATTTATCAAAATTAAAATTTAACTTGAAATTTATAATTATTTAGTCATATTTTGCATAATTCTAAGTAGATTTTGTAAAAAATCAAGAAAGAAAACTTTTAACGTGCTTTATTTTTCTTTTTTATAATAATACATATTATTATATAATTAACATATTCATAATGTTTCACCCTTTCAAAAATATAATCCTCCTCTCAAATAAACGTACATACGAGAAAGGGACTCCAACCTTCTTTGTACAATATGTAGCTTTATTTAAGTATGCATTTATGTAGATAAGGCAATTTCTTTTCATCGCTCCAGAAATAATTTTTCGTCATTGTTGAAATAGTTTTCGTTCCTCTGCGACCATAAGGAATGTATGCAATGAACTTTGCGTCATATGGGATTGTAATATATTCAGGGTTTCTTTCATCGTCAATGGGTCTGTTCTTGTTAAATATGCATGTTTCTCAGTTTTACTTGAGTTTTGAATAGTTCACGGAAACGTTCTGGAAAGAGTCATAGTAAATGTAGTCGGACATGTCTTTGTAATGAAATAAAAATTTAAAAAAATAAAAATAAGGTTATTTTTATTTAGTGAGGACGGTAGTGAGTCGTTAGTGAAGTCGTTAGTGAAGTCGTTTAGTATCAGATGGTTTTGTAAATATTTAAGGTTAAGTTGGTGTTATGGTTGTGTTGTAAAATATACGTTACCGGTTTTGTAAAGTGTCAAACCGTTAACTTGGGTAAGGTGGAACGCAGTGCCGCCGTACCCAAGTTAGGGCAAGAGATTGTTTGGTGGTGCACCATCAATTTTCAACAGTTAATATTGCAAGTAATCTTGCAATTAGTAAGATCGTATCAAATGCATTTTCATCTATTCCGATGACATCAATCAACTTCGGAACAGGAACAACAGTTTTACTGATTGATGATTCTGCATTTCTCAACTCAAGAATTTCATCATTCAATGTGAACTCACCAATGACAATCTCAAACAATGCATTCAAAGGATGCACAAACTTAAACAGTATCAATGTCAATGGTGCAACATCAATTGGTAACAACGTATTTGAAGGATGTACAAATCTTCAATCATTTTCACTTAATACAAATGTTCGCTTATCATCATTTGTATTCAAAGGATGCACAAAACTCAAAAGTGTTAATCTTCCAAATATGATCTCTTCATCTATTCCATCTTATTATATGTCTAAGAGAATGACAAAAGCGACAAGTTACACATCAAATCCCAGTTGGTTTGTTCGATGGATGTTCTTCTCTAAGTTCATTGAATATAAACAACAACATTGTCAACATTTCAGATTATGCATTCAGAGATTGTGTTAGTCTCTCATATATCATTCCATACAAAGTATCTTACATAGGAGATGAATCATTCAAGAACTGTCATCTTATCAGAGATATTCCTAAGAATGTTGTATATTTTGGTAACTACTCATTCTATGGAACGAACATTGGAAAGTCAATTTTGATCAATAGAGATACTAAATATATTGGTGCATCATCATTCATAAACACTCCTCTTCGTGTTGTTTATTATTGTGGAGAACGAGATTTCAGTAAATTTTCTCCATCATTCAACACGGACACTAATGTTGTTGTCACATTCTCATACAACTATCCAACATTCTGTGGAACACAAGCGATTTATTCTCCATCAAACACATGCAAAGACATCATGCGAACAAACAACGATGGCTTTGACCACTTGAAGAAACAGGTCAAAAGAGAAGATAATCTAATTCTGCCTTACTTGTTCTCTCCATGAACTCACTCGGTTTGTTTTAATTATTTTTGTTTTTATAATAAATTTTTTATCATGATTATTTATAATTATCTAATTCTCTTGAATTCAATATACATTTTCAATTTTTAAGAATTGAAATTCAAAAAGTGCATGAAAACTGCTATTTTTTGATACTCTTTAATTTGCTTGTTTTATTTAAATTGAGATAAAAATTATCTAAAGAGAGCAAAACCCATCATAATGACAATCTCTTCAATCAATGTCAAATGAGAAAAACTCAAATTAGTTAAACAAACAAATATTACATTAATCAATGTGCACACATTCGATAGGTAGCTGATATTGAAATCGAGCCAATCATATACTCTTAAAATTTTTATGAAAGAAAAGTGTCAAAATGTTTTAATTTTATAAGCTGTCATTAATTTAATTCTATTTTCATTATTCTTATTAGATAAATATGGTGTATATTTCAGAGATGATGGTGCACTCACTAGCGTTCCTTCTGATCTCAAAGGTGATTATGTTTTCCCATCTTATTGCACAAGCATCAAAGGAGGTTCATCAGAAGATAAAATCCATTCATTATTGCCGTGATAAGATTACATCCATCAATTTTGAGCCAGGAAGTCAAATTTCATCCATCTGCATTTATTGTTTTTACAATTCTAGTCTTATAACAGCTGATTTTAGGAACTGTCCAAATCTACTTATTTTGAACTATGCATCCTTTGCATATTGCAAAAAATTGTCAACTTTTCATATGCCACCTAATTGTCAAAAAATTTCTGCTGGCTGTTTCAGATATACAACTTCACTGACAAGACTTGATATACCAGACACTTTGAAAAACATAGAATATCAGGTTAATCCATATTATCGTGCTTTCGATCATAGTGCAATTAGCCGATTTGTTCTAAGTCCAACATCCAATTTGGAAAATATTGGTGGAGATTCATTTGCAGATTCAAATTGACTTCATATATATTCCAAAGAAAACAATATTCTACGCAGCATCTTTCCAAAATTGTCCAATTGAAGAGATAGTAATTCATCCAGAAAATCCATATTATAAAACTAAAGATTTAGTAGTTTTTTCAGATAACAATTCTACAATATACTTTGTCAGTCCATTTAAAACAGGAGAATATACTGTTCCTTCTTATGTCACAAAAATTGGTCAATCCGCCTTCAGAACATGTTCACTTTCAAAAGTTACCATAGGTAATCAAGTAACAAATATTGAGACATGGTGTTTTGCACAAAGTAAAATCCGAGAAATTATATTACCAAGTAATATGTTATCGATTCCAGAAGCAATGTTTGCTTTCTGTGGAACAATTAGTACAATTCAAATTCCAGATTCTGTAACCAAAATAGGGCTTTGGGCATTTTATTATTGTGATCGACTAAACAAAATTGATTTACCAAAAAATTTGATAACGCTTGGAGATGAAGTATTTAGAGGCTGTCATAAGCTAAAGAATTTAACTCTGTCTGCAAAATTGAAGGAAATTGGAGTTGGTTTGTTTACCGATGTTGGAAATATCAATATAATATCATTAAATCCAGAAATATTTATCGATGGGTTTATTATGTATAAAGATAGCAATCAAACATTGTTTTCATATTATGGTGTCACAGAAAATGCAGATTTAACAATAATCAATAAATGCAATTTCATCGGTAAAGGTATTTTTACAGGTAAAAATTTAAGAAATATATATTTTGACAACAATGAAAATATTTCTCTTGATAGTTATGTGTTTGATTCATCAACAATTAAAACCATTTCTTTTCCTTCAGGGCTTAAAAGTTTAGGAATGTGAACATTTCAATATTGTTCGAAATTGTCAACTGTTTCTTTCCAAGGAACAATGATTTCATCCATACCAGAGAAATGTTTTTATCAATGCAGCAGTCTTAAGTCCATAACTCTTCCAACATCAATCACAACGATTGGTAAGTCTGCATTTGAAGGATGTGAAAATATTGGAGATATTGGGATATCAAAATTGGAAAATCTTCAAACAATATCAGATTCAGCATTTCTTAAAAGTGGATTGACTACAGCAAATCTTGCAAATTCAGTAACTTTGGTTGGAAGTCGAGCATTTCTTCAGTCACGAATTGCTAACTTAACTATTAACTGTAATATCCAAAATGATCTTTGTCGCTCATGCACAAATCTTAAAACACTGACAATGAATGATGGTGTTACTGAGATTGGTCCATATGCATTTTCAGGCTGCTCAGAACTTACAGGATTTATAATTCCTCAGAATTTGCGAAGAATTCTTGATTTTGCATTTGAATCATGTTCCAGTTTATCTTCTGTTCCCATGGTGATGTATTGCACACTTGAATCAGTTGAAGGTGGATGCTTTTATGGATGCATTACCTCAAAAAGATCGAACTTTCAACTTATGACCGTTCTTATTTGTTCCAAAATAGTGCTTTAACATTCTATAATCAATCTAAGCTCTTTATTTTTCTTCCTTATAGTGGAATAATAAATTTTGTTGCTCCCATGGATATGAAAGAGATTGGCCGATGTGCATTCATGGGAAGTCCAAGTCTTCAACGAGTTTTCTTCAATGGAAACAAGATCGAAACTATAGGTTACCAAGCATTTCGTGATTGCAGAAATTTGAACTTAATCTTCTTGCTTCATCTAATTCTATCACTATCGGAAACAATGCCTTCATTG